GTGGTATGATTGCCAATGAGACAACTATCCACCAGAGTTCAAATGAAGCCAGTTTTGGCTTTTTAAAGTGTGTTAATGATGTTTTTGTCATGAATTATTATATCCTTTCTTTCCTTTAAAAACAAGTTTTAAGTTTGAGGTGTTATAACAATCTTTGATATGAATTTTCTTTACATTTCTGAGACAAAGAATAAGCAGGTCTTTCAAAATTATTTTCATTTTAATATGTGTACAACTGCAGGGTACTCATTTCAATTTCACATGTTTTTGTTGGACTGTTTCATATCAAATGGGTGAAAATGACAGTATTTTAAATAAAAAATAGAAAGATGTGGGTACACATCAGTCAGCAACCCAATGACACAAAGAAATAAACAGTCTTCAACAATAGACAAGTGTCTTTACAATATATCAAGCTATAAATTTCCTAAAGTCTAGAAAAAACAGATCTGAAATCAAAAAAAAATTCCTAAAGATACAAAACATTAACCTATGACTAAAAACCGTCGCTGACTAGGTTCTTTACTTGGGACAAGCACAAAAACATGTTTTTGGGTGAAACTTTTTATAAGCACTCAAGCCCAATTTCCTCTTGAAACTTTCAGTGGAATAACAATGAAAAACATACTTTAACAATAAAATTTAAGTTAAGGAGATGTGGTATGATTACAAAAGAGACAACTGTCAACCAAAGACAAAGGAAACAGATATATATCAGAGTATAATCAGCATGATAAATATCATATCAATAAAGTCTATAAAACTGGAACTTATTTGTAGATCTTACTTTGCTGAACAATTTTGCTCTTACAGTTTATCTCTATCTATTATAGTATTCAACATAAAATCCAAAAGCTGTAAAATTTCCTTAAAATTACCAATTCAGGGGCAGCAACCCAACAACGGGTTGTCTGATGAGTCTGAAAATTTCAGGGCAGATAGATCTTGACCTGCTGAACATTTTATCCCCTGTCAGATTTGCTCTAAATGCTTTAGTTTCAGAGATAAGCCAAAAACTGCATTTTACCCCTATGTTCTATTTTTAGCCATGGCGGCCATCTTGGTTGATTGGTGGGGTCATCGGATATATTTTTAAAACAAGATACCCTAAGGATGATTTAGGCCAAGTTTGGTTTAATTTGGCCCAGTAGTTTCAGAGGAGAAGATTTTTGTAAAAGTTAACGGAAGACGACGACGGACGACGGACACCAAGTGATGAGAAAAGCTCACTTGGCACTTTTGGGCCAGGTGAGCTAAAATGTAAAAATTTATTCAAAATTTTGCTTCAAACAATCATAAAAATGCTTCTGCCATCAATTCATTAATTTCTATGAACTGCCAAAGATTCATAAAATTCTATGAACTGCCAAAGATTCATAAAATTCTATGAACTGCCAAAGATTTATAAAATTCTATAAAGGTTTGACAAAGTAATGAATGTCTTACAAACACCAGAATGTTTTACATGTTAACTGCAAATAAAGGAAAGTGTTTTTTTACTCTGGCCTTTTGATCATTAAAAATTCGTAAGGGTTCCGCGGAACCCAGTGTCTCGCCTACTTTTGCTGTTAATCGCAGGCTCAACAAAAATGAGGAAAAAAATTAATAAAAATATTCCTTTCTATACCATCTTTTGATTGTAAGTAGCTTCTGTCCAAGTTTGGTAAAAATCCAGGATAGTTTATGAATCTAATAAATGTTTTAAAAACTTAAACTGCAGACTGTATGTAATGTTAACTGGAAGAAAAACTAAGTCCATTTATAAGTAAAATACGGGAAAAATTGAACAAAATTTTAACAAAATTTCCTTCTAGATACTAGCTTTTAATCATAGACAAGCTTCTGTCCAAGTCTGGTACAAATCCAGGATAGTTTAAGAAAGTTGCTAAAATTTTAAAAACTTTAACCACAGAGTGAATGTAATGTTAACTGGCAGAAAACCTAAGTCCATTTATAAGTAAAATACGGAAAAAATGGATTTTTTTTTTTACAAAATTTACTTCTGGATACTATCTTTTAATCATAAACAAGCTTCTTTCCAAGTTTGGTAGAAATCCAGGATAGTTTAAGAAAGTTATTAAAATTTCAAAAACTTTAACCACAGAGTGAATGTAATGTTTCTTGGCAGAAAAACTAAGTCCATTTATAAGTAAAATACAGAAAAAATGGAATTTTTTTTTTACAAAATTTACTTTTGAATATTATCTTATGATCATAAACAAGCTTCTGTCCAACTTTGGTAGAAATCCGGGATAGTTTAAGAAAGTTATTAAAATTTCAAAAACTTTAACCACAGAGTGAATATTTGTGGACGCCGCCGCCGACGACGGAATGTAGGATCGCTATGTCTCGCTTTTTCGACAAAAGTCGAAGGCTCGACAAAAAGCTTCTGTCCACTTACTTAAAATTTTATGAATGTTTGACAAAGTTATTGAAAAAACTTTAACCTGAGACTGTATCTAAATGTTTACTGTAAAAAAAATATAAAGCCCACTTATCAGTAAAATATGAAACAAAAAATCAAAATTTTACCCTGTAACTGTCTTTAGGTCATAAAAAACTTCTATGATCCAAATTTCATAAGACTGAACCTTAATATTGCAGCTGCCTCCAATGACTATGGAATGTATAATTGCTATGCCTTGCAATTGCAACATAAATGTTGCAGGCTCAACAACAAAAAATATAAAGCCTACTTATCAGTAAAATATGAAAAAAAAAATCAAAATTTTACTCTGTAACTGTCTTTTGGTCATTAAAAACTTCTATGATACAAATTTCATTAAAAATTCCATGAAGATTTGACAAAGTTATTGATGTAAAAAAAAACTTTAACCACAGACTGAACCTTAATATTGCAGCTGCCACCGACAATGCCTACAATGACAATGGAATGTATAATTGCTATGCCTTACTATTTAACATAAATGTTGCAGGCTCAAAAACAAAAAGAAGAATTGATACATCCAAAAAAAAATGCAAAAAAACATTAAAGAGGGTTCATTGAAAAAGTAATCAGAGACAAATACTGTTTCATTCTACTGATCCCTAAATGGGCAAAAATCCCTGTCCAGCATGAGCAAGGGGATATAAAAATTTTCACATTAGAAAATATTTCGGAACTGCAATGCATTTATATAACATATTCTTCACTTCAGTTTTCTAAATGTGTTTAAGAATATAATTTGTAGTTGCAATCTTCAAATTAGTATTCCCATTTAGGCACTGCCATAAATTACAACTTTGATTACTCATAAATTCCCTTTGCTCTGAATTTAGCCACAATATTTTAGATCCAAAGGGAAGAGCTGAAATCCAAAAAAATGTAATTACCAGAATCAATATCGGTGTTCAGCAAACACTTTATAATCATTCACCTTGTTATTAATAAGTCAGCCAAAAGGAAAGATTTGAAGGAACATTCCTAAACTTGTCAGCTTTATACATAAACATTAAAGTAAAAATTGCAGGATAATTACCTTTTTTTATCAAATTCTTACAGGTGAACAAATACTTCCACAATTAATCTTATGTCTAAACAGACTTCATTTTTTTTTTTAACTAGTAGATCTGCTAAACTTTGCTGCAAGCACCCATTTAATTTCCATTCTTTTCGTTTTTCCCTTAATAAATTAACATGATCCAGTGTTGCCATGTCTTATCTTTTTGTTAAATCTGATGATGCTGTGGTCTTTATAGGCAAAAGAAAAACAATCACATTGGCGTAAATAAATCCATGGATAGCTTCAATTTTTTAATCAAATATGTCTACGGATAAAAGTAAATTGTAATTCATCACAAATAATTTTACTCTACCCATAAATAAACAATGCTAAAATGTATATAATAAAGTGTTAAAAAAATCTTAGAAAAAACTTTTCAACAGATAGATTGCCCTTATTAAACTTGCCTTAATGTTAGAAGATGAACACTTAACTACCAATACATGTATATAATACTTGTAACAAATATCTAAATGTATTTACATGTTAACCCTTATTACTTATTTGAAATCCAGTGTTGTGACAGATAACTTCTTCATGTATTTAAAAGATAAAAAAAAAGTAAAAATTCACTAAAAACTTTTAGTCTGGCCTTTATTCATAAAAATACCAATATTCTGCAATCCACAGTAAAAGAACTAATTAAATTCTGATTCATTTTAGTCAATACAATAATTTGTAATATTAGTACAGGTTACTAAAGTTCCATAAATTCATGCTTCATTTTAACCAAAACTGGTATATACATTGCTCATACATGTATATCAAATAAAATAAAATTGAGAATGGAAATGGGGAATGTGTCAAAGAGACAACAACCCGACCAAAGACTTCAACACAGCGAGAAAATCCCGCACCCGGAGGCGGGCTTCAGCTGGCCTCTAAACAAAAATGTGTAATAGTTCAATGAAAATGGACGTCACACTAAACTCAGAAACATATAAATGAACTAAAAATAAAAAACATACAAGACTAACAAAGGCCAGAGGCTCCTGATTTGGGACAGGCACAAAAATGTGGCGGGGTTAAACATGTTTTGTGAGATATCAACCCTCCCCCTATACCTCTAGCCAATGTAGAATAAACAAACACACAGCAATACACACAGTAAAACTCAGTTTAAAAGAAGTCTGAGTCAAGTCCATTTATCAGTAAAATATGAAGAAGAGAAAAAAACAAATTTTACTCTGAAACTGTCTTTTGGTCATAAAAATCTTCTACCCAAATTTCATAAAATTCCATGAAGATTTGACAAAGTTATTGATGTAAAAAAAACTTTAACCACAGAACAAACCTTAATGTTGCAGCTGCCATCGACAATTCCTCCAATGCCGATGGAATGTATAATAGCTATGCCGCGCTATATATATGTGTAGTTTTAAAGTAAAGCAGCGAAATTTAATGAAAAATATTAAAAAAAAATATCTGAAGGTTACAAAGTTGTTTTGTTAAAACTTAAATACTTTTAAAAAAATGTGTATTGGTAATTAGATTTACCTTGTTTTTCTTGAAGCAGTAACATTTGCAGCTTGGATGTAACCTGGCAAAGATTAATCTCCCCTGTTTTGTAATTACAATATTGCAGGTATTGTTTAGCTCTTTTCTGATAGCTACTGTAAACAGTTGTGTTATAGTAGGAATTGTTTGTATAATTAAGCTGATTTCCTGCTAATTTGCTGCCAAATGTTTTCTGTCCAAGAGGTAACACATCGCCACACTTATAAAAACTGTAAGGTTCCTGAGGAACACTTGAACGAATAAATTCAGTCATAATTCATATTAGGAAAGGAAATAATATTGTTTTTCAACTTAAATACTGACAAAATGTTAAGTGTCTTGACAGTTCAAATCTACTTCCCTAACCAGCCAATCAAATTTAACATCAGGATATTTTTTTGCATAGTAACCAGTATTTTTATTCTAATTGGGAAGCTCATCTTTTTTCATAATCTGAATTTATCTAGAATTTATGTCACCAAAAATCAACAACATTTAATGAACTCTGGAGGGGCTTAAAGTTAAATTTTGTAATTCATACACTTATTTCAATTGTTATGAAAGACATTTGAATCATTGCTTTGTCAGAAAAGGGTAAAATTCATAATTTAGGTTGTCCTATTGCTGCAAGCATATACATATTTCTCCATGTGATTTAAAAATAAAACAAGAAAATTTGTGAATATATATAATATCCTATATATAATAACTAAAAACAAACATATTGTCTGAAGTTAATGATTAAATTCAGTCTAAAGGCTATATTAATACATCCCTTCCATTAATTTTATTAGACCAAAAGGTGGGCGACTTTTACACTGGTCAGTGGCAGTATATGGTCTTTGATTAAAGAACCTGGACATGGTGTTTTTGATTATAATATATGTAATTATTGTGACGTCTTTCAGGTGATCATTTAATTAATTAATGGCCTCAACTATTAATGATTATAATTACATGAACCTATTTTTGTTACATGGATGTGACCTAACACTTTTTTTTTATTCAATTACTTTTCATGATGAATTTTCTTATTGATTTTGTGATTAATTAATATTATATTAATGCATTAGAATATGACTACAGCAAATGCAGGGCCACTTCAAAGAAACACATAAGACTTTATTTGATATTTTTAAATTCATAATCACCAATTTTAAATACAATGACTTCAATAAATAAACACTTTGATTTTTTGTCCGGAAAGTAAATATTGAAAAATAGGCATATGTTTAAGGCATGGTTGTAGAAATTTCAACTGATGAAAACTAATCAGAAAACCATTTTAAAGATTTAGTTCTAAATTTTCTCACGACACTGGACAAGGACCTAGGAACATCTGTAGGAAGTATATATGGAATTTTGTCGTAGGAAGCAATCATCCGTGTACAATTGCAGGATAGACACAGAGATCTTAAAGAGGGTCAAAGTTCAGTCTTTATTGAAATGAAAGGAAGTCTGCCTCGTGCCTGGAAGAATCATAGTAATAAACCAGAAATAACGTATTCATATGAATATATATAGGTCAATTAATGAAAAAAGTATTAACAAAAATACCGAACTCCAAAGTAAATTCAAAAAGGGTAAGTCCATAAAAATTGACAAAATCAAACGTAAGACTTTATCAACCATCGGAACGAATGGAAAACAACTGTCATATTCCTGACTTGGTACAGGCATTTTGAAAGTCATAATATTTTGAACTTAAACAAGAACAAAATCACAACTTTTTTAAATTAATGAAGTCTTCAACCTGTAATTGATGTGGATTAATTATACAGAATATGATTCATTTTATTTCTATTTCAAAATCCAGTCAACATGACAAAAACTAAAATAAAAATTCTCCTAGACACTGCATAATAATAATACATGTCAACATGTCTATTTTTATGACTAAGTAAGTAACTGTCGGTGACCCTCTCCCATCTTTATAAATACTTTATTTTGCACATGACTGATTTATATTCTCTCCTTAATCTGAGAATTGAGATAAACTTTATTTTTATTATGAGAACCTCACTGGAGCTCCTGAACTGTAAAGCATAAAATTTATACCTCTATTAAAATAACATTATTGAGTATATATAAGTTGTATTTTCAAAGAACTGTTTAGTGTCTACTTTAAGTTAATTAACGATAATATAAACTAATTTCTATTTCCGGAGCACCTGATATCACCCCCAATTTTTGGTAGGGTTGGTGTTGCTCAGTCTTTCGTTTTCTATGTTGAGTTTTATGTACTGTTTGTCTTTTGATCGTTTTTCCTTATTTTCCATGACATTTTAAGTTAATTTTCGACTTATTAGTTTGATATCCCTTTGGTATTTATCGCCTTTCTTTTATACCTTGATGATTGTAGGAAAAAAGTACACAAATATTTATTGAGTCCTATTGATATCTGATCAATAATATTGCATATTCCAAAGTAAATAATAGTATTTTCAATTTAAATTTCTTGAGTTTTGTTCTAAGCAACAGTTGATAGAATAGAAATGTTTTAAATCATAAATAACCCATGAAAGGAATTAATCGATGATTTCTGCCATCTTCGCAAGTCTGCAGATCTTGTCCTGTTAACTATTTTGCTGTTTAAAGTTTTTGTTAATCTACTATATTTTGGCAAAAATTACAAAATTTGGGGGAAAAAATGTCATTTTGGTACAAAAACTTCTAATAGTAAAATGATGATTTTGGCCATGATGACAAGTTCGTTGATCTTGTCCTGCTGACCAATTTTGCTATTGAAGTCTATCTTTATCTATTACAGTTTTCAAAATAATGGACAACAAGAGGCTGTCGAGTGACAGCAAACCGGATTGTCCTGCAAAGGTGGAACCCTGAACAGTTAAACAAGTATGGACTCAACAGCTCTGAATTTGGAGTGTGATTAAAAATTCAAAATAGATTATTATCTAATTAATAATGAAAATGATATTTGCAAATCTGAACCCCAAACAGGATCATGTAAAAATTAAATTTTAAGTAAAATTAAACATTAACAACAAAAATAAAATACCACATAACAACTGTGACATCTACCTTCAGAACAAACATGACTTAAACAAAATAGTTATAAAGAAATTTTGATGTTATCATTACTGGTTAATGGAATAAGTTTGAGTTATTTCCCTTTGAAGAGAAATATGGTTTAACATAGTACTCCAATATTAGATATGATTTAATATAGTTCTCTAAAATTAGATATGATGTAACACAATGTATATCTATTTTCAAATTATAATCAAATATAATCAATAGTTCCAAATATTTTTTCTTTCATTTGTCACAAACTTATATAGATCTGCAGCTTATCTATCAAAGTCAACAAATTTTTCTACACAATGTATTGTAATGAAATATATCCTTTAATAAAAATAGATTATTATCTAATCAAAGTAGTTCACTTCATAAAAAAAAATATAAATATACAGTACTCAGAAAATTAGTTTATACAGAATAGCAAACAAAACTACCACAAAATTCTTCAAACAATTTATCAAAGAAAAAAAAAAAAATTAAAAATGTCATTTATAATAAATACAAATGTCTTTTAAAAATCTTTTAAAAAATGAGTTATTTTCCTTTGTACAGAAATAGATTAATTCATCAAAAATTGAATTCTTGGGAAAGGGCTATAACTGAACAACGAGTAAGGCTAAAATTGTGAAAACTGAACTTGACCTTTATTTAGTCACAGGAAACAACATATCTAAATTTGAAAAAAAATCTTCAAAGCGTTTTCATGTAAATGAACGGACACTGTTTGGCAGGAGCCCGCCCCACGTTCATCCCCAAATCAATAACCGATTTTTACTTCGAAATTCCGGTTAAAAATGCAAAATTTGATAAAAAGGTCATCAATTATTGGCAATAACTCCTACATAGTTTAAGCAGTCATCAAACAGTTCTGGTACATGAACACTGACAATAGGAAGATCTCAAACCTTAACATTTCTGCCCTGTAAGATTTTCTCCATTTATAGTAGTTTTCAAGATATTAAACTAAACTTGTATTTTATCTGACAAGGTTCCTGAAATCGACAGGCACATAAACATGTGCCAGAGTTGAACTATTTTTACAAAAAATCTCAATGTTCCCCCTTTTTGTGTAATCAATGGATTAACAAAAGTTAACAAAAAATCAGTACAGGAAAATCTCTACAATAACTGTATTATTAAATAGATAACAAACAAGAATATGTGTACATCGGACTCCATGCATGCTCACACTATGAAATTTCCATATTAAGTTAACTGTAAAATCTGGATCAAAACCTAATTTGGCATATATTTTTTAAAAGTTCACGTCCTTATCAACATGTGTACTAATTTGTTCAAGATGATGTGTACATGGTTCACTACATAAACCAAAGTTTACCTGATATAAAACAGACAAACAGATTAGGAAAGACCTGAAAACATAATGCCCCAACTAATGTCAGGAGAGGGATAAAAGCAAGTACATGTGTACTTTAAGTACCAACACAACAATAATAAATATAGATTCTACCACTTCATCTAGCGTAATATCATATTTCTCCACTCAAGAAACTTTAATTTTCATATTAAAAACGTGAGGCTTGCCAAGCTTCTTAAAAATAAAAAATTTAACTGTTGCAAACGGAGAAATATTGAATTGCACAAGTTTCGATGGTTGAATCTGTTTCTCTTATAATTGAATTTTTACCAATGAAAAGCTGAGGTCAAATAACTAAATATTGATTATAAAAAAAATTTATCACCTGGTAATACATATAAATCTTCTCAAATTCACATTCATTTATACAATATTTTATGAAAGCTTGGTAAGAAACAATTTGTTCTAACTACATGTATTCAAGCATACATGTTTTTCTTTATGTATTGTAAGTCAGGGATGGCTCCTAAAATTTGAACAAGGCTACTAATTTTTTCCACATTTTTGCTTGATGCCACAAAAATTATTGGCTGGGCTATAACTTGAAAATTTTAATTTCCATGATCAGAGTAATGAAAGTTAAGAATAAACTCAACAGCAGGAAAAATACCAAACAAATATTTGCAGAGGAGGTTTTAATAAATAATTGTAGAAAATCAATTAAAGTCTATTTTCAGATATTGTGTGATACCAATATGACCATGATGGCTTGCTTTCATTCTAAAAATAGCAGTTGAAAACTACAAAAGATGTCAACCTTTTCTTGCAATTTTTACCCAGACTGTATGTAATGACTGCTACATGTATTTGAAACAATTCTTCACAAAGTAGGACACAGTAGGTAAAAAATC